GCCCGACCAGGAATGAAATCTGAAAGATAGCTCCCTGCCCCCTGGAGCTGCCTGCTGCTGGGGTGGGCTCCACCACAAGAGTTCCAGCAGGGACTATGCCCCCCTATCCCAGCAGCAGACTCCCCAGCCAGTTCCCTGCTTCTTATTCTGGAGTAGCTTATACAAGAGTAAATTTAAGCCAGAATAAAGGAATGTGTAGATGTGCCCTCAAAGAAAAATATTGAGATTAATATCCTGATAGTGTAAATGGGTGTCAGATCACTAACGTTGCTTTGTCTCTGCAAATGCACCCATGCCCACCAGTAGAAAATTTGGCCCATTGAGTGATTTTGGTGGTATAAGTCTTTTGTCCATTTTTTGCTTTCTATCTATTGTTTTCTAATGCAAATAACTGTAGATTCATGACATCATATCCCTTGCTATTATAATAATTCTTATTGAATAAAGCATAGAATTAAACTTTAGTGATAATACTACTGAATGACTAACAGTGTAGGAGCTACAGCTACATAACATATTCTTTAAAGACAGCATAATTACAAGATTTTCACTCTTGAATCTCATTCTCCTGGCATGAAACCTGCTGTGTCCTGTGCTTAGAAGAAGGGATCTAAAAGTGACATTCATGCAAGGTCGCAAGTGTAAATAATTGTCCTTTTTATCAATGCTATAAAAATAATATTTTAGTTCTCTAAGGTAAGAGAGACAGGAGAGGACACTCCATAGATTTCAAGGGTCCAGATCAGTGGTGTAATTAGAGATGGTAAGTGAGGCACCAGCCCCAGGGGCCAATTTTGATGGGACACTGGGATGGCAGCTGCCACCACTGCCATGCTGTCAAGGACTCAGAAGCTGTTTGTTGCTCCTCTGGTCCAGATCATGAACTGCACTTCACATGCAATTCAGTAGGAAGGTGGTCAAAAAGGTGACTGCCATTTTTTTATCTGCTTGTCCTTTAAGTAACTCAGCTGGTTCCTGGCTTATGTCATGTACCCCTGAGGCTCCTTTATCCTAATTCTAGTTTCCCAAGGGACTTTTTGGCAACCAGGGATTGTGAGAACATGTGGCCAATTTGATCATGGGCCAGCTTTCTGTTATGCAACAGGGAGAACAAGAACAGCTATCAAGGTCTTAGACCACCCGAAGGCCTCCTCCAAAATATAAATATGTATTGAATTACTGTAATCTTATAGGCTGGGTTACTCAGATTGCCTGTTATTCCTCAGTGCTTCCCATTATGGAATCTTGTTTCAGTTTGTTCATAAATGTGCTGAACTCTGACCCTTTCAGCTGAAATTTTAAATATTAGTTATTAGCTTCTGGTTAAATTTTCTTGAAAAAAATTCAAACAAAGTGATACAGCCATTTATGAGAATAAAAATTTCCTTTTTCAATGTTACAAGATCTTGTCAGTTTTCTTTTAAACTTACCATTCTTCTGCCGTCGTCAAATGTTTTGAGGAACCTGTTTGAAAAATTTGTCTTAGTCCAATCTTGGTCCACATAAGGAGTAACCACTTACTGTTGCTCAGTGACTCCATTAGCTTACATTAAAGAAGTCTGTGCATTAATTTTAAAAGAACCCTGATGATGATGCCTATAAATGTCAGTATGATGTCATATAATATTATATTAGAGTTTGTTTACTTGTTTCAGGTTTTTCTTCAAAACTTAGGAAATTACACACATGACTGCACATGTGCATGCAAGTACACCTACACACATGCAAGCACACACACACCTATATTAAAAGAACATTATTAAGCATTCAGATTCAAGCATTCTGAAGTCAGGAAATGGCAAAATTGAGATTTATCTGTTGCCTTAATTTGGACCCCTTGTGCCATAGCATGATCATGGACTATTTTTTCCATAAGTCCTCTGCTGCCCACCGCCCAGAGCTCACTAAATTAGCAGCTATTCAGTATTTTGTTCTATCCTCCTGGTTGTGTCCCCATACCTTATTTATTGTAGACTTCATAACATTTCCTGTGAAATTATTTATTTCCTCCCTGACTTTTCTGTGGTGCTCCTCACAGAAGCATTTTGTAAGGAGCTTCACCAATCCAAATTTATCTTTAGAGTACCCTGATGGGGAATTGAGGCACATGCTGATTAAGATTATACTTATTCTGTGTGCCCAGTATGAGAGGCCTAGTTTTTCATCATTTATAAAACTTAATATGTCTATAATTGGAGCATGGTTCTGACCATATCAGTTTCAACTCATGCTGAGGTTAAAGAAACAGTGGAGCCCTGCCCCAGTGGTTCTGAATGGCTTGTAAATATTTGGAACACCTTTACTTTTACCTTAACATGTCTAAAGTACTACTGTCACTGACCTCAGTTGCACTTTGGAAGATCAGGTTTCTCAGTCTTTGTCACCCTTTGGATAGATACAGGTATTACACTGGTATAAGTGTTTGGAAACTGGCCTAAATGTATAAGACTGGGGACAGACATTACACATAAACCAGTTTAAGTGATCAGAAACTGGTTTAAACCTATAACAGAACAGATGTTCAGTGCACATAAACCGGTTTGAAAATGGCTGAAACCAGTTTGAGAGAAACCTGGTTGAATGTAGTATCAGA